CTCTAGGTCTCAGGTTCAAAACCTCTTAGGTGCTATCAACCCTTGTGTTGGGCCAGTCCATACGGAGCTCTGCTCTGGCTTTAAATGGGCCCCCGCTAGTGGACGGTGGGATTGGTCCCCCAGGGATTAGTCGAGGGGCACGCAAACTGGCCCGGACAGCCTGAGTTATCAAAAAAAAATAAGCAAACAAACTAGCAGAAATTTTTTTATGCCCTCTAGAGCAAACAGACAACTGATAGATGTCAACATTAATTGCTTCCTCATCATATTGTGCTGCGAAACCCACTGTAACTAAAGAAATTCTTGAATTCAGATCTGTTATAAAAGCCATTTTAACCTCCTTTGATCGATATCCCATAGGCAACACATCTAGTGAAATTCCTGAAATCTGAATTTTTTCGTTTTCTTTAATTCCCAATTCAATGATGCTAGAACATTTGTCATTTTCCACTGATGAACTGTCAGATTTAGGAATCTTCTCTTTAGATACAATCTCTAAATGGAAAAGAGGGTGAGTTTTCATACATGGAATCTGCTTTTAATTTCCCCAACTCTACCACCACCACATTCTTCTCATTTGCACAAGACTCATCATCTGAACTGTTGTGGCTGTTGTTGCTAGAAATCTGTCCATCCAAAGCCTTCTGTCCATCATAAGATTCTTCCTCATACCCAGCATACTTGATACAATCATTCTTTCTGTCATAATCTGTATCAGGCTTCAATACATCATCAATTTGGATAATAGTTTCCTTGTTTTTAGCCACCACTTTTGAATCATCACTTTCTTCATAATCATCACTATCTTCATCATTCCAACTTAAAGCACCCTCTTCTAATTCCTTTGATTCCTTGCAGTCTACCATTGAGTTGAATTCCATACTTGCTTTTAACAACTGAACACCATAGCGATTCACTTTCAACAGAAAATCTCTACAACCGCTTGCCCAAGAGAGCAATATTCCTAGCAACGATGTTCCCGATAGCTAAACCACCTTTTTTTTCCTAAGAAGAAAAACAGTCTCCCATCTAACTAAAATGAACCCCTTTGCCCTTTTCACACCCTTTGTAAAGAAAATCTCTCATCAATTTCTCAATTTTCCTCGCAATGCTAACCGGAATTTTAAAAAGGGACAGGAAATAAATAGGAATGTATCTTAATACGGATTGTACCAAAGTATATCTCCCCCCTTTAGACAACAAAGCTCGCTTCCATCCTTCCAATCTTTTCCCAATTTTGACAAGAACAGGTTCCTAAAAGGAAGCCAATCTAGGATCTCCTCCCAATGGAAGCCCCAAGTATTTGAGAGGAAAGGAATCCATGGAACATCCCAACATATCCGCCACCCTTTGCACATAGCTCTCTCCCACATTAATACCCACAACACTACTCCTGCTAAGATTGACCTTGAGGCCCGACACAATTTCAAAAATTCCCAAAATCTTTAGCAAACTACCCACCTTACTTTCCTCTTTTGATGAAACAAATATAGTATCATCCGCAAACTGTAGATGAGTGACTCCAACCCTATCCCTCCCCACTACAAATCTCTCAATAACACCCATGTCCTTAGCTATATTAATTATCCGACTCAACACATCAGCAACTAAAATAAACAAAAATGGTGATAAAGGATCACCCTGCCTTAGACCCCTAGATGCTTGAAAAGAATCTCCAACCTTGCCATTCACAATGATCGACATATTGCATGACGACAAGCACCCCCAAATCCACATTCTCCACCTAACTCCAAAACCCTTCCTTTTCAAAACAAAATCCACAAAGCCCAATATGCCTTCTCAAAGCCCACCTTAAAGACAACACCTTCCTTACGTAGTCCCCTATACTCCTCCACAACCTCGTTAGCCACTAAGACTACATCCAATATATGTCATCCCTGAATGCACCTTGTGCCGAAGAAATAGTTTCCCCAAGGACAGCTCTAATTCTCCTAGAAAGCACATTCGCTAAAATCTTATAGAGAGATGTAATTAAGCTAATGGGTCTAAAATACCCAATCTTGACCGACTTCTCCTTCTGGGGAATTAGACAAATGAAGGATGCATTGGTGCACAAATTAACCTTACCACTCTCAAAGAACTCACCAAACACTCTCAAAAGATCCCCTATGACAATATCCCAACAATCTTGAAATGCAGCCATTGAAAAACCATTCGGGCTTGGAGCCTTATCTCTCTCACACTCCAATATAGCCTGTCTCACCTCATCTTCATCAAAGGGCCTTTCAAGCCAACTAGTTGTTGCTAACTCCACTAGAACCCAATTAATGCCTTCGATCCTTGGACGATCCACACCCCCATCAGAATATAGATTTGAATAAAAATTAAAAATCTCCTTGACAATATGCTCCTCCTTGCTCACAACCTCACCATTGTTGATTTTGTTCCAGTGCTATACCTATTTGTTCATTCTGGTGATTCAACTCAAGGTTGTTAAGATCGGGATCCTACATAGGATCGTTTTGGGGGTCTGTCGGATCGGATCGAGGATCGTAAGATCCTACTAAAATGATAAAAAAATGCAATAATTTTTATATGACTAAATAATACTATCAAAATATATATAGAATAAGCCCCAAAAAAAGAAATATAGCAATTCAATGTAGCATTCAAACATTTTTTTTTCAAAAAAAGAAGTCAAAAACATAATAAAACCAAATACTAACACTTGCAGGCATTAAAACAGCAATAGCATTATCATTTATAGCATTGTAGGCATTTCCAATTATACATAAGCATGATTAAGGTGTCTCAACTTCACTCTCATCTCAACCTCATTCACTGAACTGCATATAATTAATTTGAAGTTCCATGTCCATGAAGGCTCACCAATAATGGACAAACCTGAATTTCCCAGAAAGTGACAAACTTTCAAAGTGTAAACAAGAGCAAAAATAAATAAATAAATAAATAAGCAAGAGTAAAATTTCTTTATTGATGAAGAATGATTGTTCAGTTGTTTTTAGTATTTTTTTTACAGAACAAAAATAAATAAATAAATAAATAAGAGGTAATTTACAGAACCAAAAATAAATAAATAAGAGGTAATTTACAAAACCAAAAATAAATAAATAAATAAGACCCCCCAAAAAAAAAAATCACCGAAGGAGGTGATTCAGTAAAGAAAGAAGGAGAGATCAATGAAGAAAGAAAGAGGAGCTGCTTAGCAGCGAAGAAAGAAGAAGAGTCTTCGAATTCGAAGAAAAAAAAATAGAGCAGCAGACCTGGAGTGGAGTCAGCGAAGGAGAGAGAGGGAGAAGAAGAAGAAGAAAAGGAAGAGGAAGCAGCGTACCTGGAGTTGTTTGCCCAGGTCAGGCTTTGTTTGATGTTGAATGATTGAATCTCACTTTCCCTAGGTCAGTTTTCTTCGTTTGCCCTAATCGCACTCTGCTTCTCTCATTTTAGGTCCTGATTTTGCTTTTAAGTTGCCCAAAAAATCCTTCAAATCTGGATCGCATGGAGTCGCGATCCAGATGCGATCCTACCGATCTCGTCGATCCCACCACGATCCTGCTCTAGGGTCGATCCGATGTACGATCCGGATTGAATAGTGCATATTGAGTCGTAGGATCGTACGATCCTACGATCCGGATCGCGATCTTAACAACCTTGCTTAGGAACCCTTTATAGAGTAATAAGTAGAAAAATCAAGTAGAATTTCTTTATTTTAAAATTCAAAATACTTTAAAAGATATGCTTATTATTCAAAAAAAAGTTTAAATGAAGCAGTTGTGGAACCATTGCATCTGACAGACTTGATCCAAATATTAGACCATATTTATTTCAGTAAAAATATCAATAGATAATTCATGGGTTCAGGTTACTTCAACCTTAAACATCCTTAAATGCATTATGACATTTTCTTAGGAAACAAATGAGGAAAAAATGTTAAAATATGTTAGGTTTGATTGGATCTAATTGGATCCTATTAAAAACTTTCTAATCACCAAAATAACAACAGTCATGCAAGGTATTGATTATTTTCATAATAAACATTGTTAGAAGTTGTATATGGCATTTTCACTAAAAAAAAGGATAAAAAAATATTGGAATCTATCAGATATGATAGTTTCAAGAATTGAATGTATCATTAAAAGTGAATCAATTGGTTATGAATCATGCGATTACGATAAATTTTATCCCAAAATAGATCCACCTATAGATTCATATCGATCTATGCATGAATCACAAATCATAATATTATGATAATAGAGCTTACAAGTAACTTCTGCATATAAAATTGGACAGTTGCTGTAAGCTATGTACAGCATCATTATTAAATTAGAACGGTAATTTAATGCGTATGGCTAGTAACATGAATAATTTTGAGAGATCATGTTGGGGTGCTGGACCATCAGTTGAAGAAAGAAAACATGATGATATGCAAAAGTTGCAACAAATATGAATACGAACTGGTGTTAGTAAATGACTTGGCCACTGTGTTGGCGATTAGCTTTGATCAATCTGTGTGGATGTTGGCATGATATTGTGAGAAAATGATTGGTAGCGTGTTAGTAAATGACTTGGCCACTGTGTTGGCGATTAGCTTTGATCAATCTGTGTTGTTGGCATGATATTGTGAGAAAATGATTGGTAGCATTTTCCTCTGCTGGCCACTTAGATTAATACCCATTTGGGATAGCTGTGCTGCACTACCACCTTTGTGTAACTGCGAAGCAAAAACTATGTTTTACTTTTTAGAGGATGCATGAGATGTGTTATATTTGATCATTAAAGAGTGGCATATGTTAACCCCTTAGCTCCATTTTTGTTTGACATAAAAATCATTATGCTTGGTGAGTAGCTTCCATGTCTCTTGATCAACCATCACATTTTTGGACCTGCCTTTAAATTTATGCAGCATTTTGTCAATTTTAGAGGTCTGGTGTCTATTTTAGTTCCCTATACATTGATATTGTTCATTGATTTCTTTAATTTTAATTTTTTTAGTGTTCTGATTACCTGTCCTTTTAAAATAGGTGTATCTGATACTGGATGAGTTCATTCTTGCCGGGGAGCTCCAAGAAACAAGCAAGAGGGTATGTAGTGTTCTATAACGTTTGTTTCATTCCTCGTGCATCTAGAAAGAATGTTATAAAAGTTTCTGCACCTCCTATTTTGTGTTTTTTAGGAAAATGATAGCTACACAAATATCTGGTGATGTTGTTACTATTTAGTTTCAATTGACCATTATATTAACTTTGATTGAGGTGTATTTCCAAGATCTCCAACAAAAGGCTTTTGTTTGTAATTCTTGCATATAATTTTTGAAACTAATTGAGGAATCCGGAACTAGAGTTGGGTTTTTGTTTAAACTTGCAGGCAATTATAGAGAGAATGGGGGAGTTGGAAAAGCAGGAGTAAAGAATTATGTTGCAGCAGCTCGTGTTCGAGCACTTTTTTCCATCTTCAATCCTTCGTGGGTTTTTTTCTCGTTTCTTTTTTGGTGAAATTTGTTTACACCATATCACAGTTGGTATTGTTGTGATAATATTAGAAAATTCAACCTAAAGGATTTTGCTTCCTGCCCTTTTCTATATCTTCAGCATGCGGCCTTTTGTATTTTCTTCTATGACATCTCTGGTATTTGTTGTTTAAATCAATTTGTTAACCTATATTATACAATGGACAAGATTGCTTGTGCATATGCTTTTGTTTTTATAAATAATTTATTTATTTATTCTGAAATTATTCTTATGTTAGAAGAACCTCCTCTGGAAAGGGTAATGGAGTATGACTTGGTTGAACTATTTTTCTGTCGACATTCTGGACTCTGTTGAATTCTCTGCAAAATAATTGATTTCCTCCATTTTTACTACATTGTTTTTGCTTGGTTTCAATTTCGAAATTAGTTTTCTAAAATTTTTCTACAAAAATAGAAATTAGTGTGATAGAAACTAACATCAAAAATATAATTTTAAATTTTTAAAAATTATTTTTGTGCTCCAAAAAGGTAAGATCAGATGAAGTGATGAGTGTTTTTTATTTATTATTTTTTTTATAAATTTAATATTTATTTTTAAGTTTTTTTTTTTTTTTTTGTTTATAGAAAATATATTTTGAAAATCAAATCAAACAGTATGGAAATGCAAATTGTATTTGTTTAACTTCAGTTACTCTTTCTTGCATTCTAAGGAAAAAAACCAATACAATAGTATCACCATCCAAAAACAATTCACTATATAGATATAAACCCAAAGCCAACAACAGATCCAAAAAGGCTACTCTTGAAACACTAGCAATACACTAAAATCATGCATATATGTTTTTGCCTCTCCATAGAAGTCGAAGCAGACAATACAGGACTTGTTCTCTCATCTGATAGTGCAACAATTGGAGTTTTGAATTTGCCTCTGCACTTGGAATTGCTCATTCTTAGCCAGAAGGGAGATGATGATGATGGTGTTGCCTTTTATCCCTGGCATGGGGCAAACATGAGGTAATAGTTAGTATCCTTATATTGTCACGATAATCTTATTTTGATCCATTTATTTTTGATTATAACTGTTAATTTCTTATACTTTAAGCCAAGTTATAATATCATATTTTCGTCCATTTGATAGTCAATGAGGTAGATGAAACTTGAAAGTGAAGTATTCGAAGTGAAGTTTAAATAAAAGTGTAGATGCATTATAAAAAAATAAAAAATAAAATATCATTAAGTTTACTTGACAAGTTCCATCGACCCCATTAACGATTGATGGACAGAAAAATGATATTGCAAGCTAACTATCACAATTAAAAGTAAATAGATTAAAATAAAATTATGATAAAATTACAGGGTACTGAAGCGTAATCAACTCAAACAATTTTTTCATCACATCTGTTCCCAACCTTGCCGTTTTTAATATAGTACTTCTTTTGTACCTTGTTCTTGTAACCAAACACAGACCAACATAAAACTACTTTTCTGACTTCTTAATGGCATAACCAAACTAAACGTATATTCGAGGCTAGTGCTATGACAATTTGGTTTGTATTAAATAATAATAATAATAATTCCAACAATGATCTAATGACTAGGAATGGCAACGGGGCAGGGCAGGGTCGGGGATCGCACTCCCCGTCCCCGATCCCCGATGGTGGAAATACCCCCGTTCCCGGTCCCGATCCCCGACGGGAAACCTGTCACTGCCCCCGCCCCTGCCCCCCAACGGGGATCGGGTTTCCCCGACCCCGATAATTCCCCGACTAAAATTAAATAACAACAACAACATAAACATTATCCAACAACAGATCTAACACATCAAATGTATATATAATTTCATCAAATGTATATCAGATGTAAAAAATTCATCAAATGTAAAAAATATATAATTCATCAAATGTAATTCATCAAATGTAAAAAATAAAAATAAAAAATAAACAATCTAACACATCTTTCATCAGATCTGAGCATGTTGAATCTAACACAACTTGTGTGAGGCAGATCCAAGGGAGGAGGCGACAGAAGCGACGGAATGATGGAGATCGGTGTGAGACAGACGCGACAAAAGGGAGAAGGCAGTGATGGAGATCGGTGTGAGACAGTGAGATCGGAGGGAAGGAGATCGGCAGCGAGTGAGATCAGCAGCGATGGAGATCGGCGTGAGATAGCGCCGTGAGGCAGCGCAGTGATGGAAATCGGAGGGAGAGGGGGGAGGCTGTGGCTGAAGAAGGACGATTGGCGTCGCGATGGTTGCTGTGACTTGGTCGCGACAATGGTGAGAATGAGAGAGAGAGTAGAGTGAAGAGAGAGACGGAAGACAGAATTGGAGATGAAGGTTTGGTTTGGTTACTATATGTGTGTGTATATATATATCGAGGGGTAAATTAGTAAATTCATTTCGGGAAAAAATCGAGCCAAGGAACGGGGACGAGGCCGGGCCGGGTACGGGGCTGGGACACTTATCCCCGTCCCCGGCCCGAATCTGTTCGGGAATTGATTTTTAAATACCATCCCCGTCCCGTCAGGGATATTTTTCAGAAAAAACCTGCACAATTCGGGATCGGGGGGTCGGGTCCTCATCGGGCCGGTTTCAAATTGCCATCCCTACTGATGACAATGCTTGAAACAATTGTAGGAACCAATTCAAGCAAAGGACCAACAAAATTCCCATTAAGTAAAAGACCCTCTTTTCTTAATCACACTGTGCTTGTGACCTATAAAATTGATAGATGCCACATGACATAATTGAGTTGCATAGGCCTCTTATAATGAATTAATTTTTGGGTAAATTACCAATAGCTCATAATAATTAGACTTAATTCTCAGCAAATCCTATTAAAAATAAGTTTTGATAAAATTGTCGCTAAATTTTTTTTTTATGACAATTTTTTATATGTCTCTAAAAATTGACAATTAGTGTTTTTTTTTTTGGTCATAATTTTTATAAATTATCATTAAAACTTATAATTAGAGACTTTTTTATGACAAATTTTTCCCATAAGACCCATTAAATAAGGACCAACAAAATTCCCATTAAGTAAAAGACCCTCTTTTCTTAATCACACTGTGCCTGTGACCTATAAAATTGATAGATGCCACATGACATAATTGAGTTGCATAGGCCTCTTATAATGAATTAATTTTTGGGTAAATTACCAATAGCTCATAATAATTAGACTTAATTCTCAGCAAGTCCTATTGAAAATAAGTTTTGGTAAAATTGTCGCTAAAATTTTTTTTTTTATGACAATTTTTTATATGTCTCTAAAAATTGACAATTAGTGTTTTTTTTTTTTGGTCATAATTTTTATAAATTATCATTAAAACTTATAATTAGAGACTTTTTATGACAAATTTTTCCCATAAGACCCATTAAATAATAAGTCTACTTATTAGGACTTACACGTAAGTGTCCCTTAATTTTTAGTCACTATGGAGCCCTGGGTCCCGTCAAGTTTTTTTTTTAAAATTCTATTATTATCACTTTCATATTTTATGAGTGTTTGTAGAATGCATAATGGGATAAATTCTTAATTTTATAGAAATTATATTTATAAGATGTATCATAAGATGGCACACTAATTTTATAAAAAATTATTTTACTGAGTATCTCTAATACTATTAAGAATTTTGCCTTTTCAAAGATTATGGTGAAGTACAAATTTATTTTAGGGTAAACTTTACTTTATTCCGTGTGATTTGAGCTAGGTGCGATTTATCCTCTAACATTTGAAAATAACCACGTAACCTGTGTGGTTTCTAAATCAAAGCGCACATGTAAAATTGACTTGTATACCCTTATCCTTATCTTTATCCTTATCTTTTCATTTAAACTAAACCTATATAATATATATATATATATATTTTGTTTACAATTCACAAAATTCCAGAGAGAGAGAGAGAGAGAGAGAGAGAGAGAAGCTTAATAATCAAATTCACAAGTTTTTGATCAATTCTTTGCTATATACATGTGGTTATCAATTCTAGAGAGAGCCCTAACCAAACCTACTTCTAAGAAAAAGAAGGTCTTGTTTGATTTGTTTTTCAGAAAAAAAATTTTGAGAAAATTTTTTTATAAATAAATTTTTAAGAGTAATCAAATTAAACAAAATTTTTCAAAAAAAAAATTCAAAATTTTGTTTGGTTATCTATTTTCCAAAATCACTCTCTCTCTCATACACATCAAATCAATCATTTTTTTTAAAACTCTCTTCTCAAAATAATTTTTCAAAATTATTTCTGAAAAAAGGCAAATCAAACAAGTTTTCGTACTTTTCATTTCAAAAACTACTCTACAAACACAAATCAAACACACCTGAAATATTTATATAACAAAGAAATAGATACATATTAGGAATGGCAATTTGAAACCGGCCTGACGGGGACCCGACCTCCCGGCCCCGAATGGGACGATTTTTCCCTGAAAAAAACTCCCTACGGGTCGGGGATGGTATTAAAAAATAAAGCTCCAATCATTTTTAGGCCGGGGATGGGGATAGATTCTCCCGTTCCCGGCCCCAGCCCCGGCCGAAGTAATCCCCGTATATATCCCTGAATATATATTCCGCATATATATATGTTTAGGTTACTTTTAGACTCATTTCATTTGAGCCTCTCCCACTCACTCTCTCTTCTCTCAGCCTCTCTCTCTCTCTTTCTCTGCTGCGATGCTTACGGCGATGGCGTCGGCATCGACCGCTCCTCCTTGCTCCCTCACGGCGTCACTCCTCCCTCACGGTATCACAGCTGTGGCTCCTCCTCCTCTCTCCCTCACGGTGGCTCCTCCTCCCCCCTCTCTCTCTCTCGCTTTGTTTTTTGATTTTGTTCTTCAGATCTGGAAGTACTGGTCACCGGTGCCAAGATCCAAGTTGAGGAGTGAAGAGACGAATCTGGGTGTGTTGTTAATGATCCTCAGATCTGGAGTTGAATATATATGTTAAATCTATTGTTGTTATTAAATCCATTGTTAAATCTGCTGATGTTGAATCTGTTATTAAATCTGTTGTGTTGTTGTTCATGAGTATTAAATCTATTGTTAAATTTTTTATTGAATATATGATCTGAAGCTCTGTTTTTTTTTTTTGTTGGCCGGGGACTCTTCAGAGTCGGGGAAACCCGATCCCCGTTAAGGACGGGGTCGGGGGCGGTGACAAGTTTCCCGTCGGGGATCGGGACTGGAGACGAGAGAATTTTAACCGTCGAGAATCGGGGACGGGG